CTTCCTTTTTATATTTAAAGATGCTTTTGCTGTCAATCTTGATATTGCTTTAGTTCCCAGCTTTAATCTCCATGTGATAATGTCGCTGTAATGGCTATAAGATCATTTCCATTATCCTGTATTTTTGTTGTTAATTCATCAATTTTGTTCCAAATACCAAATACATTCAAGCAAGGAGTCATTAATTTTGCCTTTTTACCATAATTTCTCCTTTTGGATCCTATTCATTGCTGTTTTCCTATGTTTGTATACTCTGTCCCTTCCTGTCCCAGTCTGAGTATCATTATCCAAATAGCTGCACTGCAATTCTGTCATATCCTCTTGCTTTGTGAGTCTATATTTCCGTTCTTTCCCTACATTTCCTATCCTAACAATGTCATAGTTGTTAATGTGGATGAGGACTACTGGATCCCTCTTGTTCCTCTCCATGATCTTCTTCAGCCCCAAAGAGGCGTCCTTTATCCTGGCACTAGGCAGGTAACTCAACCTTCATGGCTGCTGGAATAGTATCTATCCCCCTAAATATACTGTCCTTTACCACAACTACAGTCCTATTTCCTTCCCTCACTTATGGCTTCCTGTAATAAGATGCCTTGGTCAGTTTACTCATCCTCCCTTCAGTGCCCTGTACAGGTCTCATCTCTACAGCTTGCAAGAACCTTGTAACTCCTAGAAAACTGTAGGGGCTGGGGCTCCTCAATTTTAACCCCCAAGATCCTCTTACCAGCCTCACCTGCAGTCACATGTGCCTGTCTCTGACCACAGATCAATTTTCAATTACCTAATCTGAATGCTGTGACCACCTTCTGGATCAAAGTGTCTAGGTAACTTTCCCTCTCCCTGATGTGACAAAATGTCTGCAGCTCCAGCTCCTGAACTTGGATCCGAAGCTCCTTGAGCAGCAGACACTTACAGATGTGTCTACTCTGGATCACATTTGTGTCCAGCAGCTTCCACATGTTTTAGCAGCAATACATCATCTGTGTAGGTGTTTCCACCTTGGGGCACATATGTAAAAGGACATTCTGCTTCTTTTCCTGTGCTGCTGGACGTCCCATTGGCCTTCCAACTTTGAAAGCTGCTTGTGTTCATAACTGGATGGCAATCCCACACATGGCTGTTAACTGATCAATTCAGGTAAAATCATAGTCAGGATATTGTCACCTGACATAATATGGACTTCTGAACCTGGTGGCTGGGGAAAATTTCTGCTCCTCAAAGCAGCCATTAAAATTATACCTGCAACACCTGAGAGCTATAATCACTTTGTGAGATTGATAAGATGTTATTGAAGGAACATGCCATGTGGATGGATACAAGCTGTACCTCAGAGCTAACTGAGTTAGCTGCATGAAAATTAAATAGAAATCTCCCTGGCAAACCCTTTTCCAGTTGATATATCAACAGCAGATTGCAAACTCATTACGGCAATTGCAGATGAACGACATAAAACTCGATAGCAGCTGATTCAATGAATTGAAATGACTCTGAGCAGTAGACAAGCTAGAATGATCACATGCGAGTTCAGCAATGACTCCATTAAAGTGAACACAGCAGTTGTTACAGCAGATAAAGTTGTTCACTAGCTTTATCTGGACACTAGAGAAAATTCTAACCATAGTAATACAAGAACAAAAATATTGAATTCATTTGCATTAGTATGATCTGACCTGGGTTTACGCCATAGAAGCCCCACAGTGTGGAAAAGGCCATTCGACCCAACAAGTCCACACAGACTTTCTGAAGAGCATCCCACCCAGACCCATCCCCTTACCTTTTCCCTGCATTTTCCCATGGCTAATGCACCTAACCTACACATCCCTGGACACCGTGGACAATTTAGCATGGCCAATACACCTAACTTGCACATCTTTGGATTATGGGAGGAAACCCATGCAGACATGGGGAGAACATGCAAACTCCACACAGACAGTCACCCGAGGCGGAAATCGAACCTGGTCCCTGGTGCTGGGAGGCAGCAGTGCTGACCACCGAGCCACTGTGCCACCCCATTATTAGATTGCTCGACATGTCCAAACTTGCAAATGGTATCAAGACTGAAATCTGCAGCTGATCTCAATATCATCCTATGTGACTAGAATACTTTCAAAAGGGCTTTTGTGGTGCAGTGTTAGTGTCCCTTCCTCTGGGCCCGTGGTCCAGGTTAAAGTCTCACCTGATCTGGACTTGTGTCATAACATGTCCAACCATGTGGATAAAAATAACTAAAATACCTTGGATTCAATTAATTGGCCGCTTGATTTGTTCAACTTTTGTAAGATTCCCTAAATACAGCATCGTAATCATTTTAAAACATGGTTAAGTGTCTAAAACTCTCCAAATATTCAGATTAACTTCTCTTTTGCATCAAATTATTTGAACACCTTATTGAACTGCTTTTCTGTCCATTACAGAAAGCTCCCTGTTCCAGAACATGCAGATTTCCTCCCTGAAAAGAATACATTAGCCAACTAATTAATCTGTCCCAGCATACAGAACATGGCCTAATAACTGGAGCTGTCATTGATGTGTGAGGTGCTCTCATACTTAATCATTGAACTCTTGTGGAGAAGGTTTTTGATAAGATGAAAGATGCTCACCTCTTGAGCTCTGATAAACTTTATTAATGAATTGCCATTCATTTATGGAGGTATGCAGTAAAAAAGACAATGAAATAGATAGAGTAGTGGGGGGAATTTCAAGTACCTTAATATTAGCTGTGATAAATTCAGTGTAAAAGGTACAGAAGGCACTGAAATCTACAAATAATTTAAGAGCCAGCAATATTGCAAGCTCAACATGAGATAGGACCATTTCAGACTTAGATTTCAGGAGTGAACCTTACCAGGTGGAAAGGGTATCAGTGGAAAAGCAACTTAGTCTTGACACTATTTCATCTAGATTCAGAATATTTATGGAAAAGGATAAAGATGGACCAAATTTAGGAGAAAGCCAATTTTATCAAGCTGAGTTGTGATTTAGCAAAAATAGATTGGAAGCAGCACCTTGAAGGTAAATCAATATCAAAGAGGTGCTGAAAAGGGTTGAGAGCAAATCTGCTCCCAGCCAGACTGGATGTCGGAAAGCACACAGAGAGTAGGAAAACACAAAAAAGGAAACTTTGCCGGACATCAAAAGCTCTGGATAGCAGAAAATCTAGAAGATTATAGAAAGTGCAAGGATAAATTAAAAACAATATTAGGAATGGACTGATTATTCATGATGCCAAAATGGCACCTAGGCATGTGCAATCATGGCTTACGTCAGTTGGACACAACAGGCCAAAAGAAGCATTTGCGCATGTGCAAAGGTTATCACTGCCTCCTGTGCTGTGCTGCCCAGCCCTCTCTTAGAGTCATACAGCACAGAAACAGACAAACAGACTCTTCAGTCCAATCCATCCATGCCGACCAAGCTTCCCAAACTAAACTGGTCCCATTTGCCTGGTTATCCCTCTAAACCTTTCCTATTCACGTACCTCTCTAAATGTTTTAGATATGTTGTAATTGCAGCTGTCCAGCCCTCTCCTGCTGCTGCACTGCCCAAGGAGGAGTCCTTCCTCGAGCTGGAAGGCTGTGTCTAGGAGCTAGGGTACAGCTACACCTGTTAATCCACATCCCACCTCTCAGCCTGTTGTTCCTGTTAGCCACCTCCTCAGCCAGGGTCCAGAATACACATGGGAGGCTGTTAAAACAGCACTGAAGCTCGGGGCTTCACCACTGCAGCCCTCTTCCAAGGCCTCATAATCTGAGCCCCTTTAATCACACTCAGTACTGGATATAATTCAGGCCACTGAGTCCTGGATCATACAGAATTTCTGTCAGGCTTCCAGAAGTGCCATTTTTTGAGACTCACTGCCACTTTGTCACTTCAGAATGACATGGGGTGCCTCTTCACACATGCATGTTTGTTTGCAGCATTTGTAGCAAATTAGGAAAGTAGAGGTGCATGGAAAAATACTGGCAAGCAATTAAGGAAACCTAAAGATACTTTGTAAATATGTGAAAAACAAGAAGATAACCGAAGAAAGAAAACAGAGCCAATAACAGCGAAAAGGTAGTTTGTGTGTCCAGGTGAAAGTCATCACTCTGGGTATAAAATGCTCGTGAGACTAGAGAGGGAGATCTATATACAATTCTGGTCACTGCAGTGAGGAATGATGTAATTGAATTACATGGGGTACAAAGGATTTGGTCAGGAATTAAGAATTAGCCATGAGGAAAGATTGGATTTGTTTTAGAACAGAGGAGGAAAAAGGGGTGATTCAATAGAGATATAGAAGGTTATGACCTAGATACTGTGTAATTTCTGTTAACAGAGAGGTCAATAACCACAGGAGCAGACAATAAATTACCCGTCACTGGCAAGGCTATCCATCCTAATGTCTACCTCTTGACTAGTTGACTAGTTGTGTGCTTTCTTTTGTTTGTCGACAAAGAGGAGAGGTGAATGCTTGGCTTGCATGAAGAGAAGGGAATGGTAGGAGTTGTGGAAGGTGATTGTGAGGCACGAATGAGTGAGAGTACACGTTGGCTGTTCAGATGGAGTTGTGGGATACAGGGAGAGAGAGAGAGAGAGAGAAAGAGAGTGAGAAAGTGTGTGTGAGAGAGAGAGAGACAGAGAGAGAAAGAGAAAGTGCGAGAAAGGAATGAATACAACTGCAAGATGTGTTGTCCCAAACACCACTGTGCAGGAGATACCTGGGAAAGTCAGAGTAACAGGCTTGACATCTGGAAGTGTTACATTACTCAACTTGTGTGTCCTCCTGAGGTCGTGATTCTCTTGGTGCACTGTTTCCAGGTTGGAGGAACTGATTTCCTGTAACTGACTTCCTTGGCCATGTCTATTCCTGCCTGCCTGGTTGAAGTTTCAGTGTGCATTGTGTTAAAATCTACGAATCATAGTTTAGTATTGATGAGAAAAGATACATTTGTTGAAACGTTTTGTCTTTCACTCACCAGAACATTCACATGAATACCAAAGTAAAGTAACACCACTACCTTGTAAAAATGTTCTGTTCCAATAGATCTTTCCTACTTGATTCCCACAGAGAAACACCAGATTGGATAAAATGAGCAGAGTTGTGGCCACACTTGCCAAGGCAGCATGAGCCCGACGCTGCATACTGGCCGACAAGGACCTTTCCTGGAAAAGAAGGAAAGTAGATACAATGCATAAGGTAACAATAAGTGATTTTTTAAAAACCATTTAACGTTTATTTTCTTCCTTTGCTTCCCCCAAACCATTTATACAAAATGCATAAACTGCACATTTTCTTAATATTTGACTGACGCTATTTCATAACCAGCTTTCAGGATATAGCATTCTCAGTGGTTCCCTAAAACTTCCCCTTTCTTGTTGCTCACCAAGGCAGTTTGACCCTGTGACCAAAGACCTGTTGGATCAAAATGAACAATTTATCATGAAGAAGATGGAATCCAAGCCTGGGTATTCCAGCACTGCTCTAATAAACCACATCACGAGTAGGATACAAAAACAGAAACTACTGGAGGAACTCAGCAGGTCTGACAGCATCTATGGTGAATAAGCAGAGTCCCAGTGACCATTCTTCAGAACTGAAGACAGGGTGGGGCAATGTGCAGGGGTGGAGAGTGAGAGGATAGGCTGAGTGAGAGCCCAGAGAGAGAAAAAGACAGCTAGAGAGGCAAAGGCATGGATAATAGTATACTCCGGAGAAAGAAATTCTGATAGTGGGGATCATAAGTAGATGAAAAAGGATTGGCCATGCTGAAAGCAGCCTAAGTGATAACAAGAAAGGTGGTGGTAGTCAGTTGGGTGATGGGGGTGGGGGTGGTGGTGGTGGTGGTGGTGTGTATAGTTTAGGGACATGGAGGAAGGTCCTCAGGCCTTAATTTGTTTTTAACTTGATATTGAGGCTGCAAGGTCTCCAAGCGGAAACTGAGATGCTGTTCTTCCAGCTTGTACTGAGCTTCACTGGAGCACTTTGGCAAGCCCAAGACAGAAATGTTGTCCAGGGAACATGCTAAAGAAGGAGCAGGCAAGTGGGAGCTCAGGGTTATTTTTACAGAGAGACCTTAGGTGTTCCACAAAACTGTCAGCCACTCTGCATTTCATTTCCTTAGCATAGCGGAGACTACATTGTAAGCAGCAATGACAGCAAACAAGATTGAGTGAAGTGCAGGTAAATTGCTGCTTCATCTGGAAGTTACATCTGGGGCCTTGGATAGTGGAGGAGGGAGGAAGTAAATGGGCAGGTGTTACATCTTCTGCAATTGTATGGCAAGGTGCCATGGGGGGGCCGGGGGGTTGGTGTTGGAAGGAGGAGTAGACCAGGGTGTCCCAGTGGGAATAGTCCTTGGGAAGTGTTGACAAGGGAGGGGAAGAGGCAATGTGTCTGATGGTTGCACCTTACTGGAGGTGGTGGAAATGGTGACTAATAATTCTGGACATGAATGCTGGTGAGATGGATAGCTAAGGAAAAGGGGACCTTATCCGTGTTTTGGAAGGGGAGAGAACAGGTGACGGCAGAAGTGCAGGAAATAGGTTGGACACAGCTAAGTGCTCTATCAACCACAGTGACAGGGAATCCTCAGATGTGGAAAAAGGTGGACGTTTCTGAGGCTCCCCTGTGGAAGGTGCAATCTCAGAACAGAGATGGAGAAACTGGGAAAATGGAATGGAGGGTAGGAGGGTGTATTGTTCAGGTAAATGTATGAGTTGGTTGGGTTTGTAATGGATATCAGTGGCCACCTATCCCTAGAGATGGAAACAGGGATGCTGTGGAACGAAAGCAGGGAGTCAGAGATGAACCAGGTGAAGGTGCTAGCAGGGTGAAAATTTCCAATGGGGGCACTTCTGCACTCACCCCTACTCTCCCCTCCCACAACACCCCTCCAGCATCTACATCTAAAAGATCATAAGCCGCCACTTTTGCCACCTCCAGCAGATGTCTCCCCCCTCCACTGTCATCAGTTTGGAGAAGGATTATTGGACTTGAAATGTTAACTCTGCTTTCTCTCCGAAGATGCTGCCAGACCTGCTGAGTTTCTCCAGCAATTTCTGTTTCTCTTTCAGATTTCTAGCAATTACAATTTTTAGTTTAATTTCACTAGTATGATATTTTTATTCAAACAATACTCTATAGTTCCTTTTCATTTTGGTCAAAAACCAAATTAATATTTATCTGAAATACTTAATTATGATAACTAGTCAAAACAAAGGAATATTTCAGATGTCATCAAATTTAAATTCCTAATTGTGGTTTGCAATTCTGTACAAGTGATTAAGTTGTATTTATCTCTCTATAAGATATGGTGTTCTTGGAAATTTCAGCAGGGCAATATACCCATTTTTGGTGGTAGCTGCATGTTGTTGTTACGTACCAAATCAGCAAGCTGCTTGTTGGATTATCATTTTTGTAATTTATTCTTTCACAGGATGTGTGCTTTGTTGACGAGGCCAGTGTGAATTGCCCTAACTACCCTTGACAAGGTGGTGGTGACCTGCCTTCTTGAATCACAATTGTCCATCATGTACAGCTGCACTGCTGATAGGGAGTGAGATTCAGAAATTCAAACCTATGACAGTGAAGCGACAATGATATAGTTTCACGTCAGGATGGTGCGCAGCTTGGAGGGAAACAACACCATCTACAAATTCGCATGTATCCACTAGTATTGTCCTCTTAGATTGTAGAGGTAACGGGGTTTGCAAAAATCTGTTGAAGAAATCTTGGTGAGCTGCTGAAGCGAATTGTCGAAAGCATACATTCTTGCCACTGTGTGTCAGTTGCAGAAGGAGTGCTAATCAAGTGGCTGCTTTCTCCTAGATGGTGTCAAGCTTCTTCAGTGTTGTAGCTATATTCATTCAGGAAAGTGGCAATTATTCCATTACAGTCCTGACTTGTGACTTGTAGACGGTGGATAGGCTTTGAGGACACTAGGGGTGAGTTATTTGCTGCAAAGGTTTTAGTCTTGGATCTGCTTTTGTTGCCACAATGTGACTGGTCCAGTTTCCGTTTAATGTAATCCCAGGATGTTGATGGAGGATTCAGAGATGGCAATGTCAATGGATTTCAAGGGAAGATGGTTAGATTATCTTTGGTTGGACATGGTCATCTTCTAGCATTTGTATATCATGAATGCTACTCGCCACTTACTGGGCTAACAGATACAGGGCTCTATCCTTAAGGTTTCTCAGTGGTCCTTTTTTTAAAAATCAATCTGTCCAGACATATTACGAATCAAAAACAGAAGTTGCTGGCAAAGCTCAGCAGGTCTGGCAGCATCTGTGAAGAAAAAATCAGAGTTAACGTTTCGGGTCCGGTGACCCTTCCTCAGAACTGATTAACTCTGATTTTTTCTTCACAGATGCTGCCAGACCTGCTGAGC